GGAGAATTGCTTGAACCCGAGAGGCAGAGGTTGTAGTGAGCCGAGATCATGCCACTGTACTCCAGCCTGGGTGACAGAGCTATACTTTGTCTCCAAAAAATAAATAGGGCCGGGCGCTGTGGCTCATGCCTGTAATCCTAGCACTTTGGGAGGCCGGGGTGGGTGGATCACCTGAGGTCAAGAGTACAAGACCAGCCTGGCCATCATGGTGAAACCCCATCTTAAAAAGAAAAAAAAAAATAAACAAATGTTAATAAATATCTACAAGTTGCCAACAATAGAGGCTGTACCAATTACAACCTCCCCCATCAGTGTTTCCCTGTATCCTTACCCACGCTATCATTGTGGGGTTTTATCTGCCAATTCCTTTGGAGTAAATTTTTTTTTTTGAGACTGAGTCTTGCTCTATTGCCCAGGCTGGAGTGCAGTGGCGCGATCTTGGCTCACTGCAACCTCTGCCTCCCAGGTTCAAGCGATTCTCCTCCCTCAGCCTCCCGAGTAGCTGGGATTACAGGTGCCCGCCACTACACCTGGCTAATTTTTGTATTTTTAGTAGAGGCAGGGTTTCACCATGTTGGCCGGTCTGGTCTCAAACTCCTGATCTCAAGTGATTTGCTCGCCTTGGCCTCCCAAAGTGCTGGGATTACACCGCACCCAGCCTACTTTACATATTTTTTTATTACTAGTGAGACTATATATGTTTTCCCGACTAGTTCTTATATGTTTAGAGGGCAAGGGCTGAAATTATCTACCATCTTCATTTCTGCTCACTGAACATTTTGCTGATTTAGTAAATGAATGTTGCTAAAGCATTCCTGCTTTCTTAGGTTTAGGCTGAAGAATGATGGCTTTGCTAAGTGTGTGCAAGGTTAAAGAAAGCTGATTTTGCTCCCTGCATGTGTGTCTTAAATAAGTAAAGGGAGTCTTCCTTAATTTCTTCTCTTCTGTGAGAGCTAAGTTAGAGAAATAGTTAAGAGTCCAGGCTCTGGAGACAGATTTCCTGGATTCGTATCCTAGCTTGGCCTTTTACTACCTGGGCAGCCAACCTTGGGGCAGTTTACTTAATCTTTGTGTGTTTCAGTTTCCTCATTCATAAATTAGAGAACATCCCACCTATAGGGTTGTTGTGAAGAATGATGAGGACCTGAAATAAGGGGGTATGATTAGAGGGGAAGCAATTTATTTGAGAGAGAGTTAAGAATAGAACTATGGGGCTGGACACAGTGGCTTATGCCTGTAATCCTGGCACTTTGGGAGGCCGAGGCAGGTGGATCACAAGGTCAGGAGTTCAAGACCAGCCTGACCAACATGATGAAACCCCATCTCTACTAAAGATACAAAAAATTAGCTGGGCACGGGTGGTGGGCACCTGTAATCCCAGCTACTTGGGAGGCTGAGGCAGGAGAATCGCTTATACCCGAGAGGTGAAGGTTGCAGTGAGACGAGATCACACCACTGCTCTCCAGCCTGGATGACAGGGCGAGACTCTATTAGAACTATGAGTGGTAATTGTTAAAGGATTAAAGTATAGTTCAAAGAAAGTTCAGCCTCTGCAGTGTTGTAGAGATGGTATGGAAAGCAAACTCTGGAGGTGGATGAAGTTAAGTACCATATCAAGTCACAATCATTTTATAAAAGAAATGATGTTTTTACAGCCAAAAGATAGGGTCTAATATCAGAATAAACTAGAGTAATGTAATACCTAATCTATGGTAAGCTCACTACAATCCTCTTTTTCCTTATAGGCTGTTTGAAAACAGGGCTAAAATTAGAAAGTTTCCTGTCAGCGTTTGGAGTAAAATCCAGTTCTTTTTTGTTTTTATTTTTTGCCCTCAAACGTTCTCCCATCCAATAGAATCCACTTCTTGAAAGGTACTTTAGTGTTTTTTTCCTGTAGTCATACTGTGATTTTGGCTTATTATTTATAAAGTTTTTTTGAGACAGAGTCGCTCTGTCGCCCAGCCTGGAGTGCAGTGGCACAATCTCGGCTCTCTGTAACCTCTGCCTCCCAGGTTCAAGTGATTCTCCTGCCTCAGCCTCCCAAGTGACTGGGATTATAGGCATGCGTCATCATGCCTGGCTAATTTTGTATTTTTAGTAGAAA